GTAGGGCTTCCAAATATTCCAACAATATAACATAATACAATAAAAAATTGTGATTTTAATTAGTGATTTTAATATCATAACTTTGTCTTGGTTCAGCCATAATGGAATAGTTATTTTTGTATCTCATGCCCCTTCCTCCCTCTATCAGTCATCTGTGTAATTAATACCTGGAAGGTGCACATTATTCATGATCTTTTTGTCCACCCAATATGGTGAATCATGCAAGCCACCAGCTATGTTGTAGCAAAACTCTTTCATGAGAAAGCTGATTAAACAAAATGTGACAATGCAAAACCATATGAATAGTATGCTTGAATCAGACTTTTAGGTGTAAACTAGAAGTTTACACCAACAATTTATTGCCATAAAGTTTTGTTCTAGTGCATATGCACACAAACTAATATGTATGTGTATATTTCAATTGTTGCTCAAATGCAGTATATTCCGTGTTTGCAGGTGAAAATGTTCATGAATAAGAAACTACTAAATAGGGTAAGAGAAGAGATGTGGAAATGATTAAAGGTTTGGAATGACAGAATGAAAGTCTCAGATGAATAGTTTAGAAATATAAGACTAATTATTTGTTTACAGTATTTATATTGGGAACAATAGTATTTATGATACAGTGCTTTCTTCAGTAGACAAAGTGATAATGAGACCCCATGGCTGAATGTTGAAGTAAAAATTAGAATCAAACACACTCAAACTAGAAATAAAAAATTCATATCAAGCAGGGAAAACAATGATAAAAATGTTTAAAAAGAATTCTTCAACAGTGTAACTGTTAAACTTAAAATATGAAAGATAGTGTTACAGTTCAAACAGGAATTAAATCACAACAGCCTTATGGCTGGTACCATATTGGAGGACACATTAGATGACCACCGCTACCTCCCCCAATGGAAAATGTATTAAGTGATTTTTTAAAATTTACCCAGTACTAAGCACTATTTTTAATTCTCTTCCTTTGAACAAACCTCAAAAAGATTTTCAGTAAAACACCACAGCCTGTTTTAAAGTCTGCCCATTGGCCTTCAGTCATATTAATTTGTTTCATGATTCACTGAAAAGATGCAACATGAGGCCTTACAAAACAATGCCAGTATGCTGCTGCTGTTGGAAGTGACAGTGTTAAGCTACTGTAAACTGTCTTAAAACCCTTTGTGCAAGCCTAATGAAAGCATCTGTGTTTCTTTCAGCCATCATATTCTGAGTTCGATATAAGTGGAAATGTGCTGGGACTGATCTTTAACCAAGGCATGATCTGGTAGGTGTGGCAAAGCATGTTGCATCTGCAGGACTGCAGGATTTAGCTGTATCTGTGAAAGATTCTTCCGAAATGCTGATCCTGTTCCATTGTTTGAGTTTGATGGAAGTGTAATGTAGTATATATCAAACTCTGGTACACTGCAATGAGTGGGACCACTTCAAAACTAGTTCTGGGTTAAGATTATGGGACCAGATACATCAGGATTTTGCAATGAGCTGGTAAGACCAACCAGTAAAAAGTTGTGTAGATGAATCTTATCTTTTTGTTGTCTGATTGCTTGCTAGAGCAAGCACCTGTCCCATTCAGTTTTGCTTTGAATTTCAGCCTTTCAAAATACCTTACCACCTCTTTTCCCATGTGTCCTGTGAACAAAAACTTTAAACGTATGTATGTACAATTATCTGTGCAGGCATGCGAACTTGTGTAAAATGCTGCTGCTGCTGCAGTATTAGCCCATAGCTCTAGAGAAAAGGTCTATATTTCATGCAATTTTTGGACTTTGCATGAGTGATAAAGAATACCTGTGTGTAGAGTCTTCATGCAAGATGCTCGGTCTTCCTCCAGAACAGTCCTCCTCAAGCACTCTTGGATTCTCAAAGTTAACACTTGCTAGGACCTAATTTTTGAGCTTTAATACATCTTTGCTGATGAGACTTTTTGCTTGGTGAATGCCCTCACTTCTGCAAAGCCCAAAAGTTATGTGTTGTGTGCACTTCAAAGAAATGCCACAATAATATAGAAAAGAAAGAGGCTGCAAATGTCTTGAAGCCCCTGCAACCAAACCCTGTTGGGGGAAGGCACTGAGGGCCCTGACAGCAGCTCCGTGGGGTTGCTCAGAAGGAGGATATATTGCTGGGGATGTGCATAACACTACCTATAGCCTTGTACTGACAGCATGCCATAAAAGCATGGCTGGAGGGAGTCTAGCCCTGCTCCTAGCATGTGAGGCACCTATATTGTGTCCTGCACCTTAGAAAAACAGCTTAGGTTTGCAATTGGTATGTTGCTATCTGACTTAGGACTGGCATTCTAATTTTTCATAGGGAACATTTGTCAGGTTGCTGTTCATCAAAATTATGAGATTGCAGCATAAACTCTTCCTTGCAATTTTATATTGCAATACTACTTGCAATTACAATTGATGGTACTAATACTTTCTACTACTGTAATTTACACTTTGGAAGATATGTTGGAAATAATTCTCTATCTGAGAGAGACTGAGGGCTGGGTGAGGGAGTCAATTCCTGATTATTCTCTAACAAAATTTCTGTACATACCTATCCTTTTTATGCTTCATTACATGTACAGACTCTATGCATGTGTAAGCTGCCATACTGACTCTATGCACTCATCATAGAATCATAGAATTGTTTAGGTTGGAAAAGACCCTTAAGATCAAGTCCAACCATTAACCTAGCACTGCCAAGTCCACCATGTCCTAAGCACCATAACTACACATCTTTTAAATACCTCCAGGGGTGGTGAGTCAATCACTTCCCTGGCGAGCCTCATGCCCCAATGTACACATTCTGGCACAGAAACTGTGACTTCTGCTTTTGTGATGCTCTTTAGATACATCATCCTTCTGCTTACTGCTTATCGCAGGGTTGGGACCACATTTACGTGCTAATTGATATTTGCAGGGCCAAGAAACGCACTAGAGATGTAGTATTTTTCAAAAGAACATTTGATGACTTAAACTGAACCAAATACATCAGAAGAGCAAAAAAAAGGTTGCCTGAATTATAATAAACACACACTGCCAAACCCATGTTTATCATTTATACATACACAGGATAAATAAGTTTCTGTTTGATCTGAGCTTTACAAATTCTATTACATATGTTTGTGCTCATCTGAAACAGAATAAAAAAGAATTTCAGATACAGCTGGTGAGCTGGCACTATCACAGAGCTAGAAAAGATACAAGAGGGATATATGTGTACATTTATTTTTATGTAGAAGAGAGGGATCGTGCTATTAGGAAAACTCTCTTTTCTTTGTGTTTTCACAAAGCAAGTAAGATGCAAATAATTTGCAAGTTTTCTCCTTATTAATAAACTTTGGCAAGAATTTGTCTACCACATAACAAATGTAATACTGAAATATTACGATAAGGGTCATAAGTTACCCAGATTTTTAAGTTGTTGAAATTGGGGAGTATTTTGCAACTGATTTCCATGAGGGTAAGGAACAGGGCCATGAGGTGCTCTCTCCCTTCAACCGTAGACTAGCAAGCCCTTTATTTTTTCACTGAAGATATATGAAAAGAGGAAGAAAACGCACTAATATAGTATATTCTGTCATAATATTTCTGTACTCTGAAGCTGTTTCCAACCATGTAGATCTATTTCTTATTTTTTAAATAGAGAAACTGAGGCACTCAGAGGCAAAGCAGCTCAACCTTTGTCACCTGGACAATGATTGCAGAAAAAGTAGATTCCTGATCTCTTACATTGTGTATCATTTGGCCAGACAAATGAAAGTAAATTCTCTTCAGTCAGTATTGTACAAGAAACCAGGTGTGATGAAAATAAAATGGTCCCAACTGTTTCAGTGTCATAACCATGCAACTATACCTAATAAGGAAAAAATGGTATTTAGCAGAATCAATAAACAGTTTGTTGGAATAAAACACTAAATAACCACAGGAACAGAAGTAAAATAAATGTCAACTAAGCAAAAATATCCTTCCTAAAATGATGCTAGTATATTAAGAATAATAATAAAGAATAAGCTAGATTATTTTGGTAATCCCTAGCTTTAGGACTCTCTTCTTTTATATAACTCAAGTGAGTCACTACCTGAACTAAAGGGACAAATTAAGAGTGGATAACATTTCATCAAGTGATCATTTAATTTGCAGAGAAGGACGGCTTTGTAGCTTTGAAACAAAAAGTTCATACGGAGAATTCTCTCCATATGCTGTCAGTTCATCTTAAAGCAAGACTGGAGAGACAAGACCAGTAAAAAAAATTAAAGATGGGTTTATGAACTTGATTTCTGAGCGCACAGTGTGTATGGCTGCAAAGCACATTGACACAGGGAATAGGTTGCATATCTAGGAAGACAGAATTCCTACAACAAAATGGCTATTTTTTTCTTTGCTTCTTTTCTAGGATGGGATCTTTTTATGCTCCATGTCTGCCAGCAATCAATGTGTTCCGTCTCCACACGTCCATGTACCTGCAGTGCTGGGCAGTGATGTGCTGCAATGTTCCCCAAGAGAGGGTCTTCAAGGCTTCCAGATCCAATAACTTCTACATGGCCATGCTGCTTTTCATTCTCTTTCTCTCCACACTGCCTGCTGTGTACACCATTGTCTCCATCCCACCATCTTTTGACTGCGGTCCTTTCAGGTTTTTTGCATTTTACATCCATCTTTTATTGATGTAATGAACTGCCTCATGTCATCACAGCGAATGATCCAGTAACAAAAAAGAGCTTCTATAATAAGTGTTAGCACCTGATAGGCTGAGTGTTTGTGTCACATTTCTCATTGTGGATAATTCCTGAACCTGGAATGCTAGAAAACTGAATAATCCTTTAGGAAGTTTTAACTGAAGTGTAGAACAGAAAATCTTTTCTTTTATTTAGTTGTAATGTAAAAAATTGTCATTACTGCTGTAATTAAGCCAGAAATTATTCTTAAAGAGAAGAGCAGTGACCTGTTATGCATTTCTGGTCTGCTGGTTTGAGAGTAATGGCTTTCAGGAAATGTCTTCATATGCCCTGCAGGAGGAGCATATCAGAGCACACGGTGATGTGCTAAACGTATGATGGCGCAGCCTTTGACTGCTGTGACTCCCACTGACACGGTATTTCATGCATCTGTATGACTACTGTGACGCTGAATCTGCTTCCGAAGTCTTCCAACCTCCACATTCATTAGTCCCTCCTAAAAACTTAGGCCTGTCTTGCCTGTGCAAACCTGTGACTTGCATTCAAGTTAGCTTAGTTGTTGCCAAAATTTTTCCTTCTGTGCACACTGCCTGGAAAGTCCAGGACCATTTTCATAATCTTTACTTGCGAAGTAGCATGACATACAACTATAATGAGTACACAACAGCAGACAATATATGAAATGAAAACTTTTAAAAGACTTAGTCTTTGGTTTTGAACAAAATATTAGCAAAGCAAGAGAAGGAGGATAGATAGATAGGAGACATCCTGATTCCAGTGAGAGGTTTGAACAATGCATTATCATTGTGAGTAAAATGATACCTGCATAATCCCCAGTGGACGTTCTAAAGGAGCAGAAGTTTTCCCATATTAACTTTGGCCAAGGGCCAAATATCTGGGCGATTGTTTCTAGCTGTCTGAAATAGTCACAGTCACCTAAGAGGGAGAATTGCATGACGTACAATTCTGCAATTCTGATGAGACAGAAAATTGCCTGAATTTACGGAATCAATGGTAACAACACAAGTGATGCAAAGTAAGGTATTATATTTGTCATAGCAAAGAAAGTACGGAGAGAGACATCTGGAGTCAGGTCTGAGTAGCTGCAGTTATTGAATTGGGTATTACTGAAATGGTAAGATTACTGTTCAAAATGAGAAAGATAATAGTGCCTATAACTTTTTCTCTGTCAAATGCAAACACAATTTTTCTTCATAAAAACTGTGAAATCTTCAATGTAATTTTAATGGGAGAGGACTTGAAACTAATGAAGGTTCATTCCACCTGAGTATAGGTAATGCTGCTGTTGAACAGCCAGTGTATAAATACTGGTAGTGCATGGCTCTATATTAAAAAAAGAAAATACTTTCATGTTAGTAACTCAGTGTCTCACCTATTATGAAATTTCTGGTTCTTTGTGGGTTTTTTTCAGTTTTGTTTTGTTTTATTTTATTTTTTGAATCCATCGCTAAAGGCAACATATACAACTCAACAGAGACCTGCCAAGAGTAGGGAAGCCAGGACACAACTGGCAAAGTTGCAAGAGAAGATTCTCTGTGCATACTGGGGAAAAGATAAAGAGAGCACAGAGTGGAATTTCTCATCTGCCATGGGTGGGTGGGGGAAGCAGAGAGAAACAACTGGTTGGAGAAAGAATTCTACCTGCAACCTTTTTACATTACTGGGAAGAGGGTAAACGTGGAAAACAAAAAATTAAGAAAAAGACCTGGTTGTCAGAAATACTTTGCAAGAACTGAAAAGAGGTGACAGGTGACCTCAATGACTGGAATATCAGGTGGCAATTTGGTGTGAATTCCTTTAACCAAGTAAAACTACCAGTTAGTCTCAATACACATAAAGACCCATTTTGGTTTTTTCGTTCAGGTAAAAAATTTCAGACTTTATACTGTGAGGCACAGTATAAACAACAAAAAGAAGATTAAACAAAATAAGCAGGAGGAAAGTTTTGGAACATTTATTAAAATTCTTCTGCAGGAAAAACTTAATGTTAATGGTCTAGGGAGAAAATACTTTCTAGATAAGCTGGCCATGGAACAATTATACATGAAGGTTATTAGATTATTGTAACAATAACAAAAATCTCCTAAAACATAGCCACTATCTTCTACAGCATTGTTACACAGCAAGAGAGAGGAGAATTAGGCTGAACAGTGCTGAACAGAAACCAGTTGAAAGCAGACCATTTTTTCTTATCAACCACACAAAGATAGTATTTTAATTTTTCACCGGGACTCCACAGAGCACAAATTTCACTTCACTTTTTGGTTAGTGGTATGGAGTTCACAATTTGGCACACTGATCCTTTGTGGAGGAATCTTGGTGGCAACTGCAGGCAAAACCTATTAGCATACAACAAAAATATTGGTGTCTATTTTCACCCTTAAAATACGCAAATGTTATTTGAAATAATATTAATTTTGGAGTGTCATGTTTTAAATAATGATAACATATAATTTATTGTCCTTTTCCCACAGTTGATGTGATGTCATTAACCTATATATTCATACTACTGTGTTGATATTGCCATTATATTTCTATGTGATATATTGTCAACTTTTCTGTTCAATAGTGGGAAGACTAGAATGTTTGAAGTCATATCAGAAACTCTGGAGCATGACTTCCCTTCCTGGTTTGGGAAGGTATTTGGTTATGCTTCTAACCCTGGACTCGTCCTACCTTTTATATTGCTGATGGTGTATGTATAGAATATTAACTCAAAGCTTGCTTAATCCTAAGGTCTGTTAAGTTTCTTTCACTCTGAATCTTCACTGCCTGAATATCTAATTAAACACAGTGCTGATTGCCCCGTGGTGAGAGACTTGGAGAATTCATGAGCCTTTTATTTGATCATAATTAATGTGCCTTTGCACAAGGGGCAATATCTCTTTTTTGTTCAATGACTTTCTCTTTGTTTTTGTTATTGCTTTTCAAAAATGTTGTTGTTGTCATGATAATGGCAACATTATTAAAATGCAAAAGCCTATAAGGGTTCTGAAGTGCTGTGACTTTGATCAGCTTGTCCAACAAGCAGAACAACACATCATAATTCCTTAGAAAGTTCAACAGAAACACAACTGCCATGAAGCAGTGTTGTTTCTCAGTAACTTTCAGTGAGTCTGATCTTCAGGCCTTGGCCTTTCCTTGATGAACAATGCTATTAGGACTGGAGTATGAGACAGGGTATTGGAGACTTTATGAAATAAGGCTAGTAGAGATTTTTTTGTAAGTCGGTACCTGGTAAAGAATAATGAATTCACAATAATCTTTCTCAGAGATTGTATTGAGTCCTGCTTTATAAAGGCATTTTGAATTGCTTATAGACTGTATATTAGACTATTTAGCGTTTAACTTTTAGATACTTATAACAAAAAGATAATTCTATGTAGTAATGAGGTGGGATTTAGCCCTGTATTGTAGAACTGCCAATAAATACAGAGAAGATTACAGAATACAATACAAATTGCAGAAGGATTTTATATGAGGAAAATGAAATTCTGAGATAAAATTTTGCCAAGGTTCACTTAACATCATATTCTATTTTAATCCTTGCCTAAGAAAACAAAGAATCCAGACTGTCCTCTGAAATACACGGTGAAATCCTTCAGATGTTTTTTTGTTCAGTGCTATTCCTTTTTTAGAATGGTCCAATTTATTTTACTAAAAATAAATAAAGAAAAAAAAAAAAGAAGGAAAACACAAGGCAAAATGTGGCAAAGCAGAAAAAACAGCATATGCAGATTAATTATTTACTGCTTACATTAATAAAAGACTTCATATTAGAATTTATCTAACTAAATCAGGATGGTGAAAAATATTAATTTCATGAAGTTATCACAAAAATAATGCAATACACTGAAAAATTAAAGTTGCATTATGCAGTTATATTTTTGCTTAGTAGAAGAAGGAAGTTGTAATATAAAACAAAAATAAAACCCTATGCTTTTGGCTGTTTTCTTGACAGTACTTGAGTTTGGTTATTGTATTAATTCAAAAGCTTTTATAAATATGATTTACTCATTTTTAAGGCATGTCATAGAAGTTAATTAACTTGTATAAGTTATTCTTTAGAACACACTTCACGGTGAGACATAGCTTTATGAAACATCTTCCTTAAGTACTGTAAGATTAAATGTAGAGTATTAATAAACAGAATAATTTCTTTCAGCTTTTTTTTCCCCTAAAATAACAATACTCTCTTCATACTGTAAGGAAGCACGTTGTTTGTTGTCAAAATACTGATACTGATTGGGCACGACAAATAAGGGAAAGATACAGATTTTATATTAACAGAACTGTAGTTGTTGCTATAGGAATGTTGTAAGAGTCTTTATACTTAAATCATTACCTAACATGAAATACTATTTTTCTTTAAATTCAGTCTGAGTATTTATTATCTCAACGCTACCTCCAAATCCTACAAAGAAGCTAACTTGGAACTTAAAAAGAAGCTACAAAGTGTAAGGAATAGAAAATTACCCATTTTCTGTTTTACTAAATATTAGAGAAGCTATTCAGGTCACTGAAAGATGCCCTCTCTCTTTCTTACACTCATTAGCAAGCAGAAGAAAATAAAAGAAGAAATAAACAAAAAGCACAAAAATCAAATGAACAAGAGGAAAATCCATTTGAGACAGAACCACCACAGCAAAAGCAAAAAGGAGGCAAGCAAGATGAATCCACTCCAAACCAAGGTAAGGACTGTTTTGAACTGGTCAGTGTGAGGAATTCATATATGCTAGACCATAGTCTTCCTTACTGCCTTGACTGCTTCCTTTGCCATAATCTCCTGAAAAATATTCACAATACTGAATCACAAGTTAATCTCCAGTACAGTTTTCTTTCTTTGGCTCATTTAAGAAATACTGTAACACACCAGGCAACACCAAAGTAAAAAAACCTGTAATAGAGATATAATGAATCACAAGTTCCCAGCCATGAAAAAAAACACCACTTAAAGACTGGTCTGAATGTCAGTGATCTCTCTTACCTATCGAAAACCAGTCAACTCCAAATCTTGCACACTCCTATCACATTTTGTTGATCCATAACTGCTCAGGACAGCTTTGTCCTCTGTGCCAGGTTCACCGGGAGAAGACATAGTGAGAACACAGTAGGGTAGCAATCCATATCAGAGAGCTTAGCTTGGTCAGGCCAGTTTCTGTCTGTCCTGAAGGATTTCGTAGGCTGTTTCCTTTCCCCTGGACACTGCTAGACTGTCCCCATCATGCATGCATGCCACACAGCCAGTATAGATCCAGGCCTCGCAGAGGAACCAAGATTAGAGATTATTGTCTTTGGAAGATCCATATGCAAGGCATGTCTGCAGCCTCAGAACATGTCTGCTTAACTTTGAAATCGCTACCTTCATCATCATTTATAGATGATATCTAAATGCATCTAGCTACTTGAGAAAAGCCACTGCTTTCCGCCACTGGGGCCTTGCAGGAAGGACTGGAGGGAAAATACCGTGCAAAGATTGTGAAGGTGCATTACCCCAGACTTCTGGCTGTTATCAGGGGAGGCCCCAGACTTTCCACACTTTTCCTGTGGTGTGGACAGGCAACTGCAGGATTTCTGTCTCAGGGGATTTCTGGTTTGCGTGTTCATTTTTTAATTCTGTTCTCCAAACACGTTTCAGACAACAAGAAAGGACAGGATGGCAATGAAGAGAAGACGACAGGCAAACCACAAGATGCCAACTCCTCTCAGGCACTCCAGCATCCAGGTCCTGCTCCGAATGACCACCATCCCTTGCAGAGCAGAGGAGGAAACCTTCATCCCCCACCCATAGCTGTGACAAGGCCACCGGGGCCCAGGGGGTATGGAGTGCCAGGTTATCCACCTGGAAAGCCACACTTCCCCGGGGCACAGCC